AATTATCACTTTGATATACATATCTTATAGTTTATGAGAAAATAGACAAAATAATACATCATTTTTGCTACATTTTAATGGATTTCTTTAAGGTACTGTTTTTTAGGTCTTGTCAGCAACATCAAACTAAAGGTACTGAGTACCCCACAGGGTACAGAGTGAGTGCTGCCAAGCACTTCAGAAACATTACCTAACATGGAGAAAATGCGCTTCTTGCTCCTTGAAGAGTTTACAGTCTAGGGATTTGACAACTCACCATCTTAAGAACTGAGTGAACAAAGTAAGGCAAATTCTTCATCCCCTAGAGCTATTGTGGACTGAATCATTTTAGGATTTGGAATTAATCCAACCAAGATGAGAGACAAGATGAAATTTGGCCGAGAATTTTTTCAGGCTCACATAGTTTTTATGAACATCCACCTAGTAAATGGAATGGACCTAACAGACAACTGAAAGAAAAACTAGATCTCTTGAAGTGCAAGGACTAAAACAACTTAGTTATGGTTACTTACTTTAAAAAGCAAACATACTGAATGGTATGACTAGGGTGATTACACTAGTTTAAAAATAGGCCAGATGCTGACACTGCATTCCCCTCATGCACTGCTCATTTAAAATAGTGAATATTAAAATATGTGGGCTTTACATCTAACCCACAGAAAGCCCACCACAAATCTTAATGTTCTGTGTATCAAATATCCACTTCGTGTGTACTACAAAAGTTTTCTTTATGCCCCATTAAGTCAAAAGTAAATAGTCAAATTATAGTAAGCTAATGACCTGCATATTTTCATATGAATGAATGTCAGTATATCTAAATAGGAAATAAATGGCGATCCTTTCTACCTATATATAAAAAAATAGAATACCTTTCCGGATTTTGCATACTCCTCACTATAAGAAGGTTTTAAGGTTTCACAATCAGTTGTCAGAAAAACAGCAGTTACGCCTGCAGTATCTCGTTAGCATCTGACTCAGTTATTTTTAGATTACATTATTTAGAAGATGTTGTAAACCTATCTAAAATTTTGTAATTCTTTTGAGATGTTTCCAATGCTAACCCTAGAATCATCATCAGAAAGAGTAATAATGTGATGTAGAAGAATGGCTAATCAACATGACTAAAAATATGCTCACTTTCAGAAAAACAATCTGGTCATCTGGAAACAATCACAGCTACAACCTAGGGAACACTCCCTTATGGGATACTGATCTGGCCAAGGCACACTTTCTAAGCAGAAAAAACTATCAGATCAGGGTGAATTTAGGCCACTTAGGAGGAGCAGCCTATAAATATCCAGACAGACCTTCTTAGGCAGCAGAATTGGTCCAATTCCTCTCAAAGAAGTATGACACTATCTTACCCACATCAACCCAAAGCTTGAAGTTAAATCAAAAGAGCATATTGGAGCAAAAGTGAATAGATGTGTAAACTCTAGCACATTCTTATTGCTGTATTAAATCT